CCTCTGTAAAATTCCACCTACCCAGCTAGGGTTTTGTAATCCTGTGGCACAGGCATTTTTACCTGTGTGCCTACAACCACTACTAAAATCAATCCTCCAATTAATTTTTTTCATGACTTCCCAACTCAACAACCCTCAATGGCTCCCTAATGCCTACAGGTCAAGAATAAATTCCTCTCCAGTTTAACATGGCTGACTTTAATAGCATATTCCCAAGGCCCCCTAAAATGAACTTAGTATGATGAAACCTCCCTAGTCAAATGTTCTTGTCTTGCTCTGGGCCTCTTCTCCTAAGTGCTCACCTCTAAGCAACGCCCCCACCTCCTCTCCCAGCCGCCGCACCCCCAGCTCTTATGAAGCCTCTCACTCTCTACACTGCATTTGCTCCAACCACTCATCTTGGCTTCTAATACCTCAAATTTCTATACAACCCCCTCAGGCATAAGCCAGTAGTGGACATGTGGCAAAGCCTATCTGTCTCCCAACCCCCACCCTCTCTGTGGTCAGAGGGAAGAAACACAGCCCTCAATGTCCTTCTCCAGGATGTGCCCCCAGGGGTTCCAGTTTAGGCCACAACACTGTCCCTGTGCCTAATTTCACTCATGGCCCCCGCAATCCAAAAGGCTACCCTCAGGGGATCTGTGATCAATTTAGTCCAAGGCTTAGGGCCAATTATAAAATAGCTGGGTCCAAGATGGCAGCTGGTCCAATACAGAGCCTTTGTTCCCACAGGTTCCCTCGGGCATGCTTCAGCACGGGGGTCCCAGGCACATTCTCTCTCCCACTGAATAGTCTCTTGCTTCCCCACCCCACCCCTAAAAAGAGATAGCTGTTTCTTATGCCCGGATGGTAAAACCAGCTTGCCTTTCTTTCCCTTTTTTGAAACTTTGATAACACTATTCACTCTTTTTGCCACCCCAAAATCATTAAGTTCCAAAAAACAAATTTTCTGATTGTCATGCAAGAGGTAATTAATTTAAACCAGAATTGCCCCATCTCTCTCAAAGTTGCCAGCTCTATTATCATTACTAATTGGAAGATAAGGTGAGGATAAAAGGACTAAGGGACTCCAGACAAGTTTCTATTTAGCTGAGTGCATTCAGCTGAGGAGGAGGAAAGGCCTGCAAACAAGTCAGTCCTGCAGAGGCTCGTCACGGACTCAGCTCTCCGGCTGGCAGTACTCAGCTGACAGTACTCAGCTCTATTACCAATCCTATTCAGTTCCTTTGCTAACTTAACTGTAGGCTGAAATTTAAATTTCAGGATTACTAAAGAAGTTTTTAAAAGTAGGAGTGAGGCTGGAGAGGGAATTCAAACCTAACATTTACCAAAAAGAACAAACTTTTCCCCATTTCCTGCAAGAAACATTGATTGTCAAACGAGGTTTTAAAAAGCAAGAGTTGAACTACTGACACTTTCAGTCACATTTGGGGAAAGGGAGCTTTGTTAAAGGCCTCTTCACAGAAGTTAAAAAAAATAACAGGAAGGTGGAGAGGATTGCTGTAGAAAACAATAATTTGTTTCTCATTTTGTGTATTTCGATAAACAACTTTTTCTATGTGAGCCCTTCCCCCACTTGCACCTCAGGTTTTCTAATTTGAATGGGGTGGGTGGTGGGGGTGGAGAAATGACTTGAGATTTTGGGATTTGATCAATGCAGCATGTTAGGAGCAGAGCACAAGGTCAAAAGGAAATGATTAATCCCACAAGAGAAACAGGCGGATGGGGCAGGGAATGGCTTCCCCACAAAACCCTCACGAACAAATAGGTCCAAAGATACTGTGTTAGCAAGGTTTTCTTCCCAACCCATACTCAGTATTTCATCTTAAAATACATTTTCTTAAAATCCAAAGAACATTAATCAACACAAGCTAGTTTTCCTTAGAGGTTATTTGCCAATTAGATTCCAGTTGTTGCCAAAGGGGGTCCAGAATTAAGCGGGAGGGAGAATGACTCCAGTCATCTGGATGACTACGACATTCTATGACAATTTCCATTACTAGAGGGAACCCACTGATCATTAATGGAGATGGAGATATTTTAGGCCTACTTAAAAGAAGTTACCAGTCAAGACACACAATATCCCTTTGAAATGCTATGACATCACACTCTGAAAGTACATAAATAGGTCAAACACAAGAGGAGGGGGAAGGGAAATGCCGGACAAAAATCCTTTGGGAAACAATTTTCCTCTCATAGCTTTTCACCCTCCCTAATGCTTGCTTGCTTTTAGGGAATCACACGCAGAAATTCGTATTCCTAATTAATGATGCAGATTTCCTCCTCTAATCACCACAGTTTCCCATACAAACCCCTTAAACAAGCTCAGAACTGCCTCAACACTTTCTGTGCCAATACTGACCTCATGCCCCAAAGAAGCACCATACAGAGACCAGAAGTCTTCACCACCCTGGCTCAGGACCAGAGGGCTCAATTCTGAAACCATCCAGGCCAGGTGGGGTTTTGGTCCACCTTTTAAAATTCATGACAACAGATGGCTATCTTGCTTTGAAAGGCACTGAAGACATCTCCCAAGAATGCTGAGCCACAAAATCTTACAATCTGGATGGGAGCAACCCTCAATTTGTGTGCACAACTCTGAGTGTGCATACCTTTCTGAAGAGAAGTTGCACAGGTGCCAGATCCTTAGAGGTCTCGGACTCTTTCTTAAAAAAAGGTGGCTGGGGCAGGGGGGGAGGGGTCATCCACAATCAATGCACTCAACTCTGCCACTTCCACCACACAAAAAAGTGGAGGAGGCGGCTCATTCATGTGGGCAAAACAGGCACAGGTTAATGTAAGAAGAAGGATTCGAACTTGGTCCTCCAGGCCCTATCCAGGCTCCTTTCTCTAAATTAGTCCTAAAGGGGAATCACAATGCCAGGTTTATAATCTGAGGCTGGTGAGAGGACTCGGCTCTGCCTTCCATATAAAAAGATGTTTACCCCTCCGACTTCAGTGGCAGCCCCACAAGATCTGGTTCCTCCTGACCTTATCCATGCAAACTGAGGCTCATTTTCCAAAGCATGGTATGGCTTGTAAATTTAAATTGCAGTTATCATGCCCATCCCCCCAGCTCTCTCTGCTTAAGGGTCCCCTGATCTCCTGGGGCCAGGATCCCCAGGATCCCATTTCCTAAAACAGAGAGTCCTTGAAAATTTTAAATAGCGTCTTAACCCTTCCCCAACCTCAGGCACTGTGGCTGCAGGGAGCTCACGGTAGGGGGCCCACGCAGGCTGGGGTTTGGGAATGTGGATGCAATGTTGGGCAGTGGAGCTTGGTGTAACCGCAGGAGCAGCAACCCATCCACTGCTGCGTGATGCAGCCATGGGCGGCTTGCTCAGCTTCACGGTTTTCCTGCAACCTTGAGTCCCAGCGACTCCTCCGCTGTGCCCACCTGGGTCTGGCCACTGCCCCAGGGTTCATCCAGCCTGCCACAACAGGTGGCTGAGGGGCAAAAATGAAGAGGACACAGGCATTAAAAAACTGTCTGGCAAGAGGAAAGTAACCTCAGACTCCCGCTCATTAAGTTTATTCTTGAGCCTCATTTCCCAAAAGCACAGAAAGAAGTACTATTTAGAAATATGAAATGATGAAGAGGAGGCCAAGAATTAACAAGAACCATCTCCTTGTTTCTGTGGCAGAACCCTCCCAACAACCACAGGCCCCGATGACTCATGCCCCCATCCCTCCAGGGAAGAGGGGTGGTATCAGAGATAGAAGTGAGGAGACCACCTGACTTCTGGAGAAGTGACGATAAGAGTTTATGGGCCAGACCTTGTGGAACTCCCTTGGCAGGATTCCTCTGTACTGAAGAAACAATGGGGCAGAGAGAAACGCACCCTACCCTGAGGTGCACAACTGTCAAAACGCAAACATTTCAGACCTGTGCATATAGGATTGCACCCATCACTATCCCTATTTACAAATAAAAAACCAAGGCAAACAGAGACTAACTTGCACAAGGTCACACAGCAGTAAGTGGCACTTTGCTCTTTGCTGCTCTTGTGTATAAAGTACACTCAAACATGTTACTTCTCAAATGTGTCCTATCACAACTAAAAAGAAAAGAACAGAGCCCCATACAGAGGGCGACCTGAGCCAAGACTCAGAGGCCAAAGTGGGAGGGGAGGCAAATCTACACCACTTTCATTTGTCACATGAGGAAGGGGCACAATTAACTGGGCACAAGGCTGAGCTCACAACAGATACTCAGCATGTCCTTGCTAAGCGGATGGATACAGCTAAGTCAGGCCCCGGGCCGCATGCTACTCTGGATCATCACATTTAAAAAGCACAACTGGGGCTGGCCCAACGGCCGAGTGGTTAAGTTTGTGAGCTCCGTTTCGCCAGTTTGGATTCTGGAGTGGACATGGCACTGCTCATCAAGCCACACTGAGGCAGAATCCCACAGAGCAGAACCAGAAGGACCCACAACTAGAAATACAACTATGCACTGAGGGGCTGGGGAGAAGAAGAAGAAGAAGAAAGCACAACCTAATGAGCCATAGTCCCATCTTCATTTTACAGATGGTGGAAACTGAAGTTTGCCCAGGTCACACGGCTGGTATGCAATTTGACCCAGAAACCTCATGAAAGACCCCAAGGCACTTATTCTCTCACAGGGCCCGGGGTGTTAGTATTATTAATCCACAGTATGCATGAGTGGTTTATAACCTCATATAAATGTTCAGTTACCAAGTGCCCACTGCTTTAAGGAAAAGTTGGTACCTGTGAGTAACCCTAAAGAACGCCCTAGAAACCTGCTGGAATGTGCGAAAGACACAACACTGATTTATAAAAGAGCTAACTGTTGGGGGCTGGCCCCGTGGCCGAGTGGTTAAGTTTGCACCAGCGTTTCGTCGGTTCGAATCCTGGATGCGGACATGACACCACTCATCAAGCCATGCTGAGGCAGCATCCCACATGCCACAACTAGAAGGACTCACAACTACAAATATACAGCTATGTACTGAAGGGTTTTGGGGAGAAAAAGGAAAAAAATAAAATCTTAAAAAAAAAAAACAGCTAACTGCTTTAGAGGCAAGACTTAAAAAGAAAGGCAGGAAGAGGGAAAGGAGGAGGAAGGATAGCAGAAAGGAAGGGAGGAAGGAAGGAGGAGGGCAGGCTGCAGCCCCTCATGTGCGTGGTAGCAGGAGCTCTCAGCCAGGACAGTGGGACATCCTGAACACTAGCTGTGAGCAGAGCAGTCAGCAGCAGCATTCTTCTTCCATCCTCTTTGCCCCTAGGAATTCCTAGGTCTTTGCAAGGTTGTTACGGGGCTAGTCCTGTATCAGAAACAGGGTATGAGCCACATATCGCCCAAATTTCCACCCAAGTAGCGGAATTCACCCTGGGCAGTGCAATGAATGGCTGCTCTGGCTCGGTCTGGGGGACACAGCCACAAGCTCAACATTTCAGCTTTGTCTTGCAATCATTGCACTCCCCGCCATAGCAGTTGTTTTAACACAATCTTCAAATGAAAGGGGCGCTTGGGGAAGGTGTGTCCCATTTTGAACATTCCTGCCCTGCATCTGTCAGAGGCTGCTGGGGAAGAGGGGAGGTAGATGAATTCAGGGTGGCCTTTGCCCCCGGGAAGAGTTTGTATGAACAAACAACTAGACAGAGGACTTGGAGGGGGTAAAAAAGAGAGAGAATTTGATTTACTGATTCTCAGTCTTTCAAGGAAACATGGAGATCATTAAAAAAAAAAAAATACTGGGATGTAGCACAATATTAACAGATAAATTTTCGAAGGAATAAAACAGTGTAGATCTAAAAGGATTATTTCTTAAGCCAAAATGAAAGTTCGGTGTGCACACAGGAGAGGACGGCCTGGGCTTCTCTGAGTGATAAAATCACTGCCCTACTCTGCAGAGGGATGACCACCCTTCCTCTCCCAGGAGCTGCTGAGCCCCTCCTGCAACCTCACAGCAGCCCCCTCAAGTGCCTGAGCAGACTCCGTGCCCTACAGACAGGGACCCGGAGGGCCTCCGGGAGGCTCCCAAAAGGCTCTCTTTAGACAGAGGAGATGCCAACTGGCAGGGAGACCAGCAGCTGAAGACCTGGCAGGGGATGCAGGCTCGCCTGGGCAGCGGTGGACATGGGGAATTTGGCGCCAGTGTCCAGTCCCAGAGCGGCCTAGTTCCAGCTGCTTTTGTCTGTGGCGACAGCAGAGTTGCACATGCACCGTGGGGAGCTTCACTCCAATGCAGACCAAAAAACTTACTGTCTTCATTAACCTGTCTAAATTGGATTTTCATCCCAATGTCATTAAAACTGGAGAGCTTCAGAAATAAAGTGATTTCTTAGAAACATAATGTCCCCCTTGACCCTCTTTTCAAAGGTGGCTCAGAGGAAGGGGCTGGCTACAAGTCGATAATGTTCTGGCTTTAAGTTAAAAGACCAAATAAGTTAAAGTCATTATTATCAAGGGCTGCTGGAATCAGGGCATCTGATGATAAACAGGTGTAACAACTCAGGTGCGATCGCTTAGATGGGATCAATGAAATACAGATAATTTATGATTGACAACTGAGGGTTAAAATGCCAATACAAAAAACAAAACTGTGTGTGCAGGACTCTGCTGTGACCTTAAATCCCCTCTCCTGGGACACCATTTAAATCTATTTCTCAAAGAGGCAACCTGAGTTGGAACCCTGAGGTGCTTGTTAAAAATGCAAATTTGAGTCCCACCCCAGTTTTAAAGAATCAGAATCTCTGTGGGGTAGAGATTCCCGGGGTTTATCAACTCCCCGTTTTTGTTAAAGAGGGAAAGGCAGATTTACACACGAAATAACAAAGAATGAAGTGAGAAAACAGAAGCAAGCTCGTAGTGTGCAGTCACTAAAAATGCTTTTTTGCACAAAATACTTCTGCTCTAATAGTTTAGGACACTTTTTTTTTTCTTCTTCTTTATTTCACCTCCAGGCATCTTGAGTTCTTAATAGAAAAAGTGTATTATCTGGAGTTATTTGCATAACATTAAATCCAGGAGGATTTATGGAGCTCCTCTACAAAGGAGGGCCAGTGCTGGGTGTTTCATGGGCAGGGCCCAGATTAACCCTTGTCCACGCCCTGGGCTTTCTGGGTCGGCTCTGCACCTTCCCAGAAAGCAGGGAGACAGGACGAGTTTTCAGGGAGGTTCTAATGGCTCTTGGGCATGGACTCCTTCCCAAAATGTTACTTGTCCTTGGCTGGGCTGGAACAGAAAACCCAGCGGGTAACAGGATAAGCACGCAGGCGGGCAGCCGGCTTCCCGGGGAAGATTAAACACAGTTAATTAAAACCCTGCAGAACGGGAGGCAGGGGATTAGCTGGCAGGGGAAAGGAGGGAGCTGCTAGCAGGAGAGGTGATGCCCGCCCCAAGATTTCCTTCCCAGAGCTCTTTTGCTGCTAATCAAGATTAAATGGGCTGTGCTCCCTTGGCCATCCAGTCCATTTTGATAGGTTCCAGTATCCCTTACTTAAAGGCCACTCTGTAAACCTGTGCCAAGAGCTGGGCAATCTTGAATGCTTTTTTCATAAGAAGCGAAGCTTCCTGAGGAGTTACTGCTGTATCTTAAAACTCTGGTGAATGAAACAAAGGAAACTGGGTGGGGAGGGATCTCTGAAGTGCAGGAATCACTCAACCTTCTCCCCACCCCACCCTATCAGGCAAGGCCAGATCTGGGGGCCTGCAAGCAGCACGAAGCAGAGTCCAGGGTGGGTGAGGAGCCTCCCCTCCCCTCCCGGACTCCCATGCCACTCAAATTCAGTCCAACCTAGCTCCAGCACCCAGGGAACCCTTGTTCAGTCACAATGTCTCCAGCCCAAGGCCCGGAGAGAGGGGCTCAAAACCACGACCCCAGTAATCCCACAGAGCTTCCCATCCCACCTCCCCATTTCAGAAGACCAAGGGCATCACCATCAAAAAGCATTTATTAAGCACCTAACTGCCTAGAGTCCGGGCAAAGATTCACAGGGGCCTGGCCCCTGCCCTGGGAGAGGGTCATTTATGACCATTAAGGCCAGGGTAAGGCAGGCTCCCAGAGGCCCATAAAACTCCCAGGGAAGGAAGTGGGGATTAACCACTTCCTCCCGCCCCTCAAGAAGGGGTTTCAAGCTCTACCAAACTGCAGAATAGAGGCTTCCCTGGCGGGGGTGGGGAGACCAGGGTCAGAAGATCCTACACCCGGCCGCGGCCTCTACCAGGGGACATGACTAACCCTGGGGTTTCTCAAATTGCTTTGATTTTTACAGATGAGAGAGCTTTGTAGTCCTGCGGCCCCAGCAGCTCTGTGAGGCACATTCTAGCAAGTCTCACCACCCCTCAGCACGGGTCTGGACTCTGTCCAGGGAGGGACAGAGCATACATGAGGATTACGTGTTTGTGACAAGTACTACACCGGTACAATGGCTTAATTCTTTTACATACTCATCGCTCAGATTTATTGGATCAGAAACTGTCCCTCTCCTGGGCAGTTTACAACATCCTCAATCTTTCACTCAATTTTTATTGACATTTATTTCAGCAACTCTTACCCAAATCTAAGAAGAGCAGTTTACAAAGAAAGCCAGTAACACACAGAACAAGCATGAGTCAAGAAAAGAGAAGCATGTCAATGAGATTTCCTGGATGGAGACCGTGAGTTTGGCTCTGAGCTTCCTGGCAGTCAAAGCAAAATGATCAACACTATACAGTTATGTCATTGTCAAATCATCAGTTTGAGAGAGCCAAGAGTTTTCCTGGCAGAAAATCCAGACACAGCAGTGGAACCTGTAAATTCCCCACCTGGGCAGTCCCAAAGACACAACTAGAAACACGCAGATATAACCTGCTCTCTGAACTTGCCTTCTCCCTTCTTCTCCCAACTTTCGAAATTCCTGCCAAAATCCTACAAGGACAATCTTTCTTTCTGATGCCAGAGAAAAGCTGCTGAAGAACAGATAGATACAGGCGGTCAGAACCAAGAGGCACGTCCCTATGTTGTGTGGAGGGAGTTCCCCAAAACTGGACCCTAAAAACCCTCTTCTAGAACCCTGGTAACTATTCTCCCTATACTACTGCCCAAACCCCTGAAGACAGGAATTTGGGGTGAGGGAGCAAGCATATCATTGTGAACACTGAGATCTACTACTCCCATACCCACACTGGTCTATGGGGAGCACTAAGACCCCAGAGTGTTTGGCAGCAATGGACCAGGAGAGGAGGTGGGGCAAAGAGCTTTCTTGCTCTCCTGGGCTGGCATTTGGTTTCCAAGGCGAGCCTTAGCATCCTACCTCCCCACCTATTCTTTAGCCAGGACACCCCCTCAAACACCCCCCCCCACCTGCTTCTTTGCTAGGACACACAGGGATGGGGGTGGGTGAGTCAGAGAGGTCCTGGTTCCAGGTAGTGTCCCTGTGAGAAGCTGCTGTCGCCTATGAGGAACCCTGCAAGGGTCTGCAGGACCCAAATGCAGGGTGGGGGCGGGGGAGCCTTTCAGGTTGGGAATCTCAAGCCCTTCCAATAGCTTAAAAGGAGTGTCATAAGTAGAACTGCCATATAAAATACAGCACAGCCCTGTTAAATTTTAATTTCAGAAAGACAATTTCCAGTATTAAGTGTGTCCCAAAATTGCATGAGACATACTCATACTAGAAAATACTTACTATTTATGAACTGGGCATCCTTGGAGAGGGGGGCAGCTAAAGCTGGCAATCCTGGTCAGGGGGCTTCCTGGTGGGTTCTGGGGTCCCAGTTAGGTGAGGCAAACCTCTTGGGAAGGGAAACCCTGAACTTTGAACTCTTCATTGGCTTATTAACATGTGCTTTTTCTTCCATTGAGGGAGGGGTCTTAGTTTGATTGTGGTTAGGACAAAAGCTGGCTCACTTAATCCAGCCCAGGGGTGACTGAGCCGGGAGGCAGACACCCCCATCCCCACCCCCATTTGAGCCCTAAGAACTTCCCAGGAGCAGAGACATAAGGCTTCAATGGTGCTCGCCACTCAAGCCAAGGCGATCAACATTCCAGGAGGCAGCCATTCCCGCCCTTCAGGAGGAACAAAGAGCCTAGGGAGGAATTCCTGCTGCCCCAAGCATGGGGGGTGGGGTGGTATCCAAACACAACTGGGCAGAAAAAGTGGCCCCAGCAAGGGGCCCTAGGAAGCCCACTCCCTCCCTGTCCTGTCAGAGGAACAAGACAGCCCAAGGAAAGACTCCAGTGCAGACATTAAAACTGAACCTTATAAGCACAGAATGCAATTTGCGGGCTGAGCCTCTAACAGCGATGGAGTAAAGTTCAAGAGAAAAATCTCTAAAGGTAACAGGCCAAAACCTCTGAATTTAATCATTAACTTTATCTTGAGGGTCTTCTTTGTACTCACGCTATGTACTGGCTTTTACTGTAACCAATGCAAATATTTTACTGTCCTTCAAAACACAGAAGGCGGGTTTGGTTGGCTTGTTTTTTAAACTACAGCTCCTGCATCACCATAAGTGATGATTCCAGGCAAATTCCAATCAGGGATCTCCAGCAAAAAGGACCTTTGGAAGGGGAGAGTGGGTGGGAGAGAGGACCTGACGGAAGCAAACTTTCCTCCCTCCTGCACAGTGGTGCCCTTACTTCTGCTGACAACACAGTGGGTAGGACCTTCAGGCAGCTTAAAAGGGAGATGAGAGACTTGAGCTTTCAAAGGCCGCAGTAGAGAAGTTTGGGGACAGACTTAAACAACGTAAGGTTCTCTTTTACTATGAGGGCAGAGGTAGTTCCAAGGGTGACCGTGTTCCCACGAAAGTCCCCTTTCACCATCTCCAACCATAGGTTTTCAATGGGGCCCAACAGCTCCCCAGAGCCTGTTTGAATTAACTCCGTAAACATTGGTTGAACATTTGCTTTGCAGATAAAGTTCTAATCTGCCAATGGAGTCGTCAGCAAAGTGCTTCCCCGTTTTTCAAATGCCCAGCTCCTCAAAGGCTCACAGGTCTTTCTTCCTGGAGCACCAAGAGGGGTCCTCTCCCCTCTCCCTGGGCACCACCCACCAAACTCCCCCAACCCCTGCAAAAAAAAAAAAAAAGCTAACTTGCATGCCTTGCAACCACTTCTCACAGTACCCAACCCTTACTCCGTTCCAGCTTCAGCTCAGCAAGCCTACTATTTCCCTCAGTAGACCCTGTTCTCACTGGGGGCCAGAGACCATGCATGCGTAAGAGTTAGACATGAGGGAAAGTCGAGAAATCAACTGAATCCTGATTGTGTCAGGCACTAAGGACCCCTCCCCCACGACAAAGCTCAATAATCAACTTTCCAAATTGAAGACTCAACAGTTCTGCACACAGGAAACAGCCTAAAACCCACTCTAAGTTCTCATGCTTGGGGGTCACATGTCACCCAATGAAAGGCAGTTGTGAATGACATTTACAATAGCTGGTCCAGGACAAAGAACTACCCCTAGCCCAAAATGAAATTTCCCTTGTAAATTCAAATTTTCTAAGAAGCTCAAAACCAAAATTTTTCTGAAGAGTCTTCAGAAAGAGAAGCCACCAATCTGTCACCTCCAATTGACCCGAGAGACCTGGAAAGCTACAGATTTTCTGAGAAGCGTTCACTACCAAAAGCCTAGACTCCAAAGACAAGACAGCTTTAGCTCCCTCCCCTATAACCCGCCCCTCCAGAAGAACACAGGAAGCTCGCACTGCGTCACAGGACTTTACTGCTACACTGCATACCCCTTTTGAGCCCTTGAATTAAAAAAAATAACCATGATAGTTAATCAAAAATAATTTAGTACTTTCACATGTACCCAAAATCTCTGGTAATTCTATTTCCCTTTACAGTGATATAAGGGTCCCCAGAAGGGAGCCTCTCTTCTAGTCCTTTGTGTCCTCAAACACCCGGAGAGAGCCAGGCACAGGGCAGATGCTCAATGAGAAGTGTGTTGATTGAACGGAATTCGCTTCCACATTTTCCAAGCAATCCTTGAGGAATTTGCCTCCCAGCGGGCATCTGCTCGCTGGAAAACAATGTGCCCTGGCCATTTGCATTGTGGCCCTGAAATGGCGAATATTTTAGAGAATCTGAGAATCTGGGCCATCACAGAGAATATGGCCTTGCCTCTGAGGGAAAGATTTTAGGGAGTTTTAGTTATCTTTGCATCAGCAATAAACCAGGACATCAGATGTTGCAACTTTCCATCATTAGAGACTCATTCACATCCAAAGCCCCCTGGCTCACTCAACCTCCCGAAAACCCTCCAAGACCCATGACCAGAGCAGCAGGCCAAATTCTCCAGAGATTAGCACTAAAAGGTACTGACTGCAGCAAGGGAACTTTCTGGGATGGTGGAAATGTTGTGTCTTGACTGTGGTAGCGCAGATGTATAAATATCAGAACTCATCAAACGTGTGCTTAACTCATCAAACATGTGCTTAAAATGAGTACATTTGATTGTGAAAACTAGACCTCAATAAAGATGATGAGTAAATGACTTGTGTATTATCTGTCATGCAAGGATGTGCCAGATTCATTATTAGATTCAAAAAACAAAGCAAAATAGGGGCCGCCGGGTGGTGTAGTGGTTAAGTTCACACGCTCTGCTTCAGTGGGCTGGGGTTCGCTGGTTCCGATCCTGGGTGCAGACCTATGCACCGCTTGCCAAGCCATGCTGTGGCAGGCATCCCACATATAAAAAATAGAGGTAGATGGGTACAGATGTTAGCTCAGGGCCAATCTTCCTCAGCAAAAAGAGGAGGATTGACAGCAGATGTTAGCTCAGAGCTAATCTTCCTCAAAAAAAAAAAGCAGCAAAATATAGAACTATAGCTACAGTATACAAATATATATTTCAAAACAACTTTATCATTAGTGTGTGCATGACTAAATGACAGATACAGTCAGAAAGATAATGCTGCACAGGCATAGGAAATAAGACCAATGATACAATCCAAAATGTTAACAGTAGTTACATATGGGGAGTGAAATCAGCACGTTATATTTTTTCAGCTACTTAGTATTTGCCTGTGTTACAATGACTGCTTATTTCTCTTGCAATTTAAAACGGCAGCGAAGATAAAAACTGAAGGGAGAAAAGGCAGCTATAGGAAAGCAAGTCTATATATGGCCATGCCCAGCAACTGTTACACAGTAGGCCACAGGGCAACACGTATGAACGGGCCCTAGACCAATATAAGCATCACGACCTACCTGTTGTGAGTAACTGAGCATCTGTAGAGAAATTCTATTTCCTTAATAGTTACCAAACATCGAAGAGATTTTTAAGAGATCACAGTATATGGCCACAAAGCATGAACACTCGTTTACATTAAACTGCAAGCCAGTTAGCCAACAGCTATATTCAGAAGGGTTTCCCAGAAACGTGAGGTTCAGAGAAAAAGGGGAAACGAGACTGAGACCATTCACCAACAGTCAGGACATCAGGCTCATCATTTCTTCTAAATAAATTAGATCCCACCTCATCTGATACACTAAGAATATGTTCTAAAGTGGGATTAAAGACACACAATGTAAAGAAAGCAAAAACACTATTCACCAATTTAGTTAAAACTCAACTGAGGCAAGCCATGGACTCAGAGAAATCCTTTGCAACAGACACCTAGTACTCAGTATTTATCCAAAACACTTATAAATTAATTTTTCAAAAACCCAGGAGAGCCGGGGCAGGCCCGGTAGCCGAATGGCTTAAGTTTCACGTGCTCTGTTTCGGCAGCCCGGGTTTGAGGGTTTGGATCCTGGCCACGGACATACTCCACTCATCAGCCATGATGTGGAGGAATCCCATATACAAACTAGAGAAGACTGGCACAGATGTTAGTTCAGGGCTAATCTTCCTGAAGCAAAAAAAAAAAAAAAAAAATGAGGATTGGCAACATTATGTTAGCTCAGGGTAAATCTTCCTCACCAAACAACACAAAGTGAAGCGAAACAGGAGCGAGAGGCCCAGGAATTAAAGCAACTGGAGGCGGAAACCCAAATGGCCAATAAACATATGAAAAGACGCCCACCTCACAGTGATCACGGAAATGCAAAGTAAAACAACAGGATGAGCCATTTTTCTCCCAGTAAATTGAGGGCAACAAGGCCAGGTTGGGGGAGGGAGGAAATGTGAATGGTGGGACGCAAGCTCTTTAGAGCACATTAACATTTCAAATGCACCTCTCCAGCATCCTAGCAATTCCCTGGTTGGGGGTGGAGGGGGATCACCCCTAGAAGTAACAGGGACACATGGGCATGCACATTGATGGCAATGGCCAACTGTAGAGAAAATCCAAATAAGGGAACAGGCTAAATAAATTCCACACCACGAATACCAAGTTCAGAGCAGTAACGACCAGCAAGTGGATACAGGAAAACGTCTGCATATGTTTTTAAGACTACATTTCTGTATGTTTGTGTGTTTGTGTGTGAATGGCTGTTAAAGTTTGGCAGAAAACACATGAAAGGCAGATCATACATTTTAGAAAGTAAAGTATAGGGGCCGGCCCCGTGGCCGAGTGGTTGAGTTCGTGCGCTCTGCTTCGGTGGCCCAGGGTTTTGCTGGTTCGGATCCTGGGCTTGGACATGGCACCGCTCATTGGGCCACGCTGAGGTGGCGTCCCACATGCCACAACTAGAAGGACCCACAACTAAAATATACAACTATGTACTGGGGGAATTTGGGGGAGAAAAAGCAGGAAAAACAAAAAAGATTGGCAACAGTTGTTAGCTCAGGTGCCACTCTTTAAAAAGTAAATTGAAAAAAGAAAGTAAAGTAGTAGGACCAGGGTACACGTCTCAAAAACTTTACAGATAATTGAAACAAAGATATAGCTATGTGTTACTTACATAATTAAATCAGGATTAGACTTAACTGGTCCCAGAAACTTCCTGGAATACAAGATAGCCCTGAGAAAAATCTCAATTTTCCATTCGTCCAGCACCTACAAGCTGAGGATGGTGAAGGAGGAAGGAACGAAAGGTCAAATAAAAATAGTCACAGGCATATACATATTCAGAAAAACTACAACCCAAAACGACAAGTGCTGTGAAGTCTACAAAAATGTCACTAAAAAAAAAATAACTTTCAATGTTGTTAAAAGAAAACAAATTTAAAACAAAACTGTTACTTCTTCCCCCCCTTTTTAAGCACTGTGTAGTGTTGGCAAACCTTCTCTAGTTCTCAGGAAGTGCTCATTCATTTGGTTCCTCTTTTTTGTTTACTGTAGGCACACCTGTCTGTCTTTCATACCAAGAGGGAGTAAGAAGCCTCACACAGTGACACCACCACTTACAAGTGCTGACTGCAAGTCAAGGAGCTGAAATGAGAAGGGCCTGGCAGGCAGGACAGGGACCTCCAGGTCAGTTTTTCAGACTTGTTTCTTACTCTGCTGAAACCACAGAATCGCATACCTTGCACATCCTGGGCTCCCCCACGCAACAGCCCCCTGCATCACGTTAAACGTGAGAAAAGTTACAAGCCAACAACAGCGACCCAACAGAGCCTGAAACTGGATCTCTTCTCCCAAACATCACCTCCTCCTCACTTTCATAATTTGAACTTGTACGTGGCTTTTAAACTTTCTTCCTATTTATTTATCTGTTGCTTTGTATGCCTTTTTCTGATGGAGAAGACGAGAATTGGTTTTATATGCAGGCAAGCAAACAAACAAACAAAAAAACCTTGAAAATAACTTCTATGGGGCTAGAACAAATAGGCACCAAAGAACTGGGCAGATCGTCATTAAATTCAAACAAATTCTGTGCTGCAGCAGATCCTAGACAATCAACAGAGGAAAACACTCTTACTATGAATGCTGAGGACACCAAATGGGA